AAGCTGCAAGCCTCAAGATAGGGATAATGTAAGTTAGAAATTCTCTAACCCTTGTCAGTCAGTGTTGTTGAGTTATCAACCATCTTTGCGGAAACCAATACTGTAATCTTGTAAATGTCTGGAATATCAGACACCATGTGATATTGGAAGGAGGTCGCATCCCAGGATAAGTCTGTGTTTGCCACTCTGGCACCCTAACCATAACTTGGCAATTCCAAAAGACTTCATGAGGCTATTAAATCATATGTTCCTCGTAGTGCAAGAAGTTTAGCTCTTGTGTAACTCGAGCAGGCTGCTAGAGAATCAGTATGAATATGATTGTCATTCTGCTGCCATAGTTGTGTCACAGCCGATGATTGCCTAGCAATGCTGTAACGGCGATACCTAGTCGGTGTTGTAGGTCTTGAGACCTTTTTTTGCAGTCTCGGTCTCGCCCTGTCAAAGTCTTGGTCTTGGGAGGGCCAGTCTCAGTCTCGAAAGTGCAGGTCTCGGTCTTGGTCTCGGATGCCATAGTCTCGGGTCTCCCCCTTGAGACCAGTCGAGACCATAACAGGAACCGTAACAAAATGTGCATCTAGCTACCACGCATGCACACGGTTGCAAAAGGCAAATTACCTCTGCAAGAGTCAAATCTTAAACCACTGATATAAATACAACACAGTAATGTTCAGATTTTTTTTTGCAATAAACAGTAAAATCGATGCTGGAATTAAGACTAGTCAATGCAGCATGATGTAACCTTGTCCCGAGTTGTTACTTTATTTCCAATCCAGAGTAGCCATGCTGCTTGACACCATGGAGATGAGGTTGCGAGTAGCGGAATTTGCACACTTGACTGGTTCCCGTTCCCTACACAGTCTCCTGCTGAACGTAGGGCCGGGACGGAAACCAGTCTGTGTGTGCACACACTATGAATTGTGTGCACGTGTGAAAGTGCTTTCATTCCATCTGGTATGTGGTACGTGTTGTTTTAGTAGTTTTGTTACGGTACATCTTTTTTGGATATTTGTTTTTCAGTATTTTGCTTACAAAAAACAGTCTAAGGATATGTTTTAATGTTCACATATCATTTGGGACACTCGGGTTGAAAATGACCAGACCATGGTAAAAGTAGAGCAGTATCACTGATAAAAGAACTGAGACATTCTTTAACAAATATTTGACCTATTTGTGAGTGTGATTTTAAGCTAATGTTTTCATTTTATTTCTTTTGTACTTAATTGTACTACCATATGTTTGTCCCTATTTACCTTTTGGTAAAAACTAAACATTGGTTTATGGTTGGTCTCGGTCTTGGATGTCATGGTCTCAGTCGCGACCTGCAAAAGTCTCGGTTTTGAAGTCCTGGTCTTGGTCTTGAAGGAGTAGGTCTCAGTCTTGGTCTTGGATACAACACTGTACCTAGTTATGTCTATCAACATTACAGAAAGAAAACCAACAAGAAGTGGTGACAGCTGTATGTTTAGGATCAAGCAGGCAAAGGTTCCTACCTCCCCCCGTAGAATTTTTTATTATTAATATATTCATTTATAAAGTGCACATTTCATACAGCTACATGTATATTCAAATGTGCTCTCCAGCGTACCACAGCCAACTGCCATTTCAACCAGTCAGTCCAGTCATGGCTAAAAATTACACACATTTTATTGAAAGTGGCAGCACGTACCCACTCATATGCAGCAAGGTATGAGACGGAGAGAACCGCCCCTGCTTTGTGTTGGTCATTGTCTCCCAGGAATCTTGGGAATTCCTTCAGACATCTTGAGGGGATGCGTTAAGTATCAATAGTCAGGAATGTGTATAGGGATTGGACATGTTGGGGGGTACCCCTCGGTCTCATTTCTTGCTGGGTATATACCCACTGCCCAAGCCTACAGCAGATTGGCCCCCAGTCTGGGGCTAGATAAGCCTAATTTCCTTCTTTAATTCAAACCCCTGCCCTCTTTGTACAAAGTTAACTCTCCAGTCCGGCGAAATAATGTCATAGTCATCTAGTTTCGTGAGTCAGGAGACTTTGGAAGCTTAAATCTAATTCTTCATACTGTATCACGGGTCCCAAAATTCACAATCCCCAAAGTTGTGCATACAGGCACTAACGGGTGTCGGACACTTTGCCACATCGCCTCATTTCTACTGTGCCCCACCAATTATCATTCATTCTGTTCTTTAATAACAGAGGCATAGGCCTAGATGGAACAAATTAACCACTTCCTGGCGGGGCCTCCGGAATCGGAGACGTATGGTTTATATCGGTGGTCGGGGTGTCCGAACTCGGACAACGGAAACAGGGCCCTGTAACAAAAGATCGTACTCCAAACAAAAGACCACGCTGCTGGGCATTACTGACATTTTTCACTCTAAAAAGTGGTGATAATCCATCCTTGTTTTGAAACCGTATACCAGGGTTTTGGGCATTGACAGTGAGCGGATTACCACCGGGGACAAAGCGCTCCACCACCGCTGCGATGAGCCACACAGCACTGCTGCACGCTAATCTGGCCCCTATTGAAAAGAGGTCAGCAATGCACTAAGCCAGGTTCGTGAACAAAAGTAAGTTATACAACACCGCACAAACTGGGGTCTATTTACAAGGCTGCTGGCCTGGCTGAAATAATCGGGTGTCAATGAAGGTCACCTGTCGACTTAGAGTAGTGCCTGAAGATCACTTGGTGCGGCTACAAATGACCACT